CTCATTTTCATCCTTCTCTCCACTCTCTGAGGCAGAAGTCTCTAAACTCATCCTTTCCAATCATCCTACTACTTGTAGGTTTGATCCTATTCCATCTCATCTCCTTCAAGCCATTTCTCATGCCATTGTACCTGCACTCACTCACATCGTTAACACATCCCTTCACACTGGTGTTTTTCCCGGTCACATCACAGCGGAGTGAACAGCCTGTCAGAAATCATAGCACGTCAGCTGTCTTGATCGTGGCTTGTGTACTGCATCATCACTGTGTCTGTGACACGACTCTGTTCCCCTCTCAGGCTTGAACTGATGGTTAAACTAACGACATTATTAACTGTCTTGATATTTACTTTGAAAGCTGAAGCTCGCGATTATGGTAAGGGCTGTTCTGTTGTAAATAAATCTTAACCAATGATTCCTAATTGCATCTACTTACGGAAGGCCAAATAAAGTGCTTTTGCTTTGCACGCGTTACATTTCCGACGAGTGCTTGCGGTGTTCGGCCAATCACAATGCACTGGGTCAGCTGGCCAATCAGAGCAGACTGCGTATTGTCCTCATTTGTCAGTCGCTTTGGATAAAAGCTTCTGCTAAATGACTAAATGTAAATGTAAATGTACTCGAACACACACCATGAGGGCCTTTCATGCACAGGGGGTCAAAACACGTCTCTCATCTCAGTGAGTTACATTTTCTCTCACTTCCTCTTAAAACTGAGATGCCTTTGCAAGTACATTATCTCTCCACAGAGACGTTAAGGAGAAAAAGACTTTCAATCTGTTGAAGTCTGGCTTTCTTTCAGACATTATCACCATTTTCTTGCATCAGCAGAATCCCCTACAAACACTTCTGTGGATTCCAGAAATATTACATTACCGCTTGACTTTGCTGTCTTTGAGGTCATAGTGTACACCAAAACCTAAACCAACCTTTGAAAATCTTATTATAATAAATGTATCTAATTATAATTCACCTCAACAGTGTACAATACACCAGCATTCACCTATTTTTGGTCTATACATTTAAATTTAAATCCAGCATTTCAATGTGCTGTCAGAGACACTATTATGATGTGATCCTGGGTCTGTCTTGCATGTTTGCCACAGTTTATGTACTGATCGAATTATGATATAATGAGGCACTGCAATATATTTGTGACGTATGTTTCACAGTGTAATGTGGTAGTTGTGATAGTCAGCTCTATTGTATAATGGCCACTCTGCCAGCTGTCATAACTGTTAAACATTATTGGAGACTGGACTCACGATATGGAGCATGATGTAGTCTCCTAGTCTGGGGGCGCTGTCAATGCGGACCAGAATCCCATCCTTGATGGTGGTGCTGAAGCCCACCGCCAATCTATCGGTTCTAGTGCTGGGCCTCTCGTTATTGGGCCATGTGTATGTGATAAGTCCTCCGCCCTTTCCAAAGATGTACGTTGCTCCAGCTGCAGGGAGGAATAGAGAAAGAATTACAATAATTAATTGTCAAAATGTCTTGGAAGGTATTAATTTAAATATAACCCGTTTGTACTCAGAAAATATAAACAGGTGGGGCATAAAATTGGATGTGTGTCAAAATATCAGATCTGTGCATTAATTCTTGCACTTTAACAGGCATTTCTGGCTGATGTTGGTAATATTTTCTGAAGTATAATATTAACAAGAAAAAAAACTCTACTCTTGGCTGGATAATTTTAGTAGCTTTACTACAAATGAACATGAAGACAGTAAGACCTAAAGTAAAAGAGTGCAGCTAATTGATAAAGCTATTTGAAACCGGAAGCTTTTCAGTTCACTGTTCACTGTACGTCTGGCCTATTGGTTTTATTTGTCCTATTGCTTGTAATTTGCTTGTGTGTTCAATGGAATCTTAGCTGTTCTTGCTGTGGTATGAGACTGCACTGTTGTAGAGTGACAATAAATAAATAAATAAATAAATAAATAAATACAACTAGATCTCTGTTAAACCCTATTGTTTTAAGAAATCATCTGAATTCAGTATTCCAGAATTTTATAAAACACATATGGCTAAATCCTCAGCTGCACAGATCACATAGTGGATTTAAGACCATTTTAGTATATGTCTCAAATGGTACCATGGTTTAGGATTGGGCTCTTGTTTTATCATTGTGATTCATGCAGAATTAATTACAAGTTGGTCTGAGATCACTGTGAAACCTCCAATGGGGGCGCTAAACAAGCACATATCTTTTTATGCTAGTTTTAGTGACCTAATTTTCATGGCAACTCTTAGACCTTGGCTGGAGTGTCCAGCCCTTGAGCTGAGCTGTGGGATCAACGCTTGGCCCTCAAGCCTCTTAAACGGGGTTCTATCCATGGAAAAGCTTGAAGTCGCCAAAAAAAGAAAAAAGAAAGACTAAAAATCCTCATACATTATACATGAATCTGCAACTAGCGAACAAAAGCAGACAGAGAAATAAAATCAAACAACCTTTTCCAAGTGCAATTTTACAAACACAAAAGGGCAAAGGAAATAAGCTGGACATCACGGGTAGGCTTAGCAAATGCCTGACACACAAAAAAAGCTATTTACCAAATTTAATCGCATCAGGGCTTTAAGCGACTGCACACGTCCTTTTAAATGCTGCCGAATTGGCAGGTAGACTGAGAGTTACTTGCAGTGTTGATAGAGTGAGGGAGTGTTTTGCATTTAGCCATTGGTGTTAAGAAAAAGGGCTAAAAGTAGTGAGATTGTAATTATGCCACAAATGGACTGTTTTTAATGAATACTGAAAGCTTTTGAAAGTCTGGTGTTTTATGTATGAATTCATTATGGGCAAATTGCATCTTCTGGAGCAATACGTACGTTTGTGTCTTCTTAATGGAATTTCAGGCTGGTGAAAACTTCATTAAAAAACTTCATTACAGAAATGCGTTGATAAAGGGTGATGCGTGGCATTCATTTTCAATTTAATATACTAACACAAATTAGTGTGTACACTAAGTGTGTGTGTGTGTGTGTGTGTTTAACAATGTATTTGTTTGACGCATAAAGGTAACTATGAACATGATGTTAACAAACACATTGGACTAAATATTGCTTTCACTGGGCACTGCATGTACGCTTTTTAACATTTTGCATAATTCATTTAAAAAGGACTGTTGTTACAGTCTTAAACCAAATAAGATCTGCTATAATTTTGCTGTCTGGTACAACATTAGTAGATTATCAAATATTAATTTTATTGTAAAGCAAAACAGACACTGTTGGATTTGTTAAAAAGGTGACTGAAAAAACAGTAATACCATAGTAATTGATGACACAGCCCCAGTCCCAAATGGTGCACTTAATACGGTCTTGTGGCCATCACGAGTGCTCTCTGTGGCTGCTATTCACCGCCGAAGCACCATTATGCCTAGCCTGCACTGGTGCAGACTATATAGTGGACTATTACCCAAAAGTCCATGTGGGCTGAAAATTCCATTTGGGACAAGGCCTTAATTAATGCACAAACTACAACCAACCAACCAACTGGTTGACACCAGACAGAGAAACTGTTGAAAAATGTAGGCTTCTCTGGATGTCAGAACATGACATGGACAGATGACATAAAATGGCCAGTCAACACTGTCAGTCATGATTAAAAATGATAAAACTGCTGGTGTGCACAATCTGCCTGGATTTTACAAAAAATTTCACTGTGGTCATATACTACAATATGACTAAAAATAATTTTAAAAGATGGCAAAAATACTTGCCCAAAGACCCAGAGTGAGAGCATACACTTTTAAACACACACACACGCACAATTGGTACAAGCCGTGATTTTAAATTCTAAAGTGGTATCTCATGAGCTTTCAACCATGCAATATGTCGGAGGTGCAGAAAACATGTTCCATGTAGTTCAACACAGAACCACGGACATGAAAACACAAGAGTACAAGAAAAACAGAGCAAATGCACTCTGTCTCCAAAGCATGGATGCATTTGCTTCTAGTCCAGTATCAAGATCCAAACAATGGCTGCCCCGCTCAGTGGGCTCTGGGCACAAAAGCTTCAATCTTGAGCCAAGTTGTAGCTGGAGAGTGGTTCAGGAGAGGAGTTTTTATGTGTAGGTCTTTCAGACACTGACCTATTTGTAATCACTCTTTGTAATCTTGTAATCACAGTTCTTACAACTGTGTGGCCAACAGCCAGGCCATAATTGAAGTCAGACAGAGACAACACAGTGGTACAAGTGAAGTGCAAACGAGTATTTGAAAAATTAGGTGGTTTCCAGATAAAAGCTTGTCAAACACATTTTCCCTTACTCTATCTAATGAACAAAAAGAACAGAGTAATATTTTATATTATATATTTTAAGGGAAAAAATTAGCCTAAAGGTAAATATTTGAATTAATTATGTTCAACTATAAGCATTGGGATCAATTAACTTATTTAGGGAATTCTTCACTGAATTCAGTATTTGAAATTCAGCAGATCAACAGCCTAATCGAACCATCAGTTTGATTTTAACACACTTTTGCCATAGCCTGGCAAAAACTCCGTAAAGGACTTATTCCAGCAACATCATCTTCATGTCAGAAATTGTAATTGTATACTTTCTGTTCATAGACAGTGGTCTTTAAACTGTGAGGATGTCAAACCCTCAGCAGGTGAGCGAGTCAATCGGAATTCAAATCTTGGAAGGAAAAATGTACGCTATGTCTTCCTGCAAGGTGCATTGCATATGAAATGTGATTGGTTGTTAATGAGAAAACTCTTGAGAACTAATGCAAGCCAAAGTAACCAAATATTAATAACATTGAAGATATAAGATATATAAGATATAATGCGATTCTATATATATATACTGTATATTCTCTCCTAAAACAATCTCATCTTGATGTTTTTGCTGCTATGGTAACCAGAAGTTTGGTTCTGCATATTGGCAGTACGGGGGTAATTCCACAGACACCCTGACATTAAAACTCATTATACTGTGAGGCTGTTGAATGCTTGAATCTGATTGACTGAAGAATGTTCTAGGTTGTGCAATTATTTTCAGGGAAACGCACAGCTAAAGTAGTTCCAGGCAGGTCTTGACCGCATTATATGTCCATATCACTTCTCGAAACTATTTCAGTTATTTCAATGATCCTTATAGCCTACAACAGCAAAATAACCAAAACCCACAATAAAACTGACCAAGCACATAAATGTAGTAAACAACAAGTTAAAAACTACAAATTATTTCCATGTTTTTGCCACAAAATTACGTTTTATTATGTACGGAAAGCACATTATCTCTTTCTCCCTTATAAATGCACACACATACAGTACTGACACGCACTCGCACAGAAACGTGTTGTCAGCATTGCTCTGACGATTTTTATCAGTAAAATAGTTTAGGAACTTAAAAGCTACATGACATATGTATCACAAGCGAGGCAATAACGGCACTGTTCTTGAAGAAGATTAACTTACATTTTCGCTATTAGTAGAGATGCTGCTGCTGAACAATGTTGAGAAACGCACAGACTCAGGTAATTCACACACGCTTAATCTCCCTCGCTCTCTCTTTCTCTCTGTAATAATTAATAACTGCATTAGTCTGCGATCAATGGCTCAAGCCTCCATTACTAGGTCTAAAATTATGTTTTGGAATTAGCGTGGGATGAGATGCGTAAGAAATTAATCCTACACTCAAGAGCATTTTAAGGACAAAAACCTGATGAATATCATGAAATACAACATCTGAACAATATTTGAGGTGTGGTAACTGTAGTGTAAGCGGAATAATTGACTCTGGTCCATTGAATTATTAGAATATAATGCACACCTGATTATTCCTTATACTGTGACAAACTGGTCACTCATAGAATCATGCTATAGCCATTTTCAGATTTTTCATAGTGCCTTAAAATGCTGCCTATACACAGGCAGCTAAATACGTTTTGGAACAGAGCACTCTGAAACATTTTTTCTTGCAATAATGTGTGTGAGTGTGTGTTTAAATGCATCTTGATTACACCAGCAGTATGTTCAGTAGGCCTATAAGTGAGTATTTCTCTGAAACTAGTAGACAAATGCATGCTGTGCAAATCATGAACCTGTGTTAATGACATAGCAGGAAAAAAAAGGATACTGGCAAATAATTGCCATTTCGAATATTGCCTTTCATGCGTACAGTGTGTAATATAGCTGTATGTGAATGTGAACTATCTGCAAAGTTATGAAGCCGACAGTGCATGGTAGATAAAGTTATTGTCTCTCAAAAAAAGAAAAAAAAAGAATAATCATGTTGAGAAGATGCTGTGTAATGTATGATAAATAATAGACGTCTGTATTTTCTATCAATCATTCAAAATACACTTAATTCTTTATAAAAGATGTGCCAAATGCTCAACTAATGCAGAAACGTATATAGTGCTACCTGTCGTACTTCGTGGCAGCAGAGGATTTCACCTTCGATTGGCATTCTGATACAGTTCCCACATGAGC